ACGACTCCACGTCCCGAAGGATGTGATGATCGGGTGGAGTTGGAGGGGGCAGGCGCTAACAAGAAAGGCCTTGAAGGAAAAGCGCTGGCCATGTGATCAGGACCCTGTGAGTAGTATTCTAATGGCTGAGCTGTCCTCTCTCTGCCTACAGTTCTGTGTATCATCCTCAACCTTGCGATTTCTTTCCAGGATTTCCATCCTTGCTCTGCCGACAGATTCTCTGACTTTTGACTGCGTGTACTCAATCAGCTTTCAATTGAGGGCAAAACACCCACCCAATCCATTTACCACTTTGCCCAAACCAATGCTTCCCAGAACATTTAATTCTAGTTTCAGTGAACAGTAGAAAAAAAAATATTTATCTGGTTAAAGGCATGCACCCTAATCTATGGCTTCCATCTTCCCTTAATTCATTGATTCTATAACTCTGAAAATGTTTCACGCAACCTAGGAGATGCTGCCGATGTTAATTGGAAGATGCCATAGCTTTTAGTACACATCCACATTTCAGATCTTTTAACATGTGGTGAATTCTGGGGTTTAGAGTTCATGAAAATTCTGCATCAGTGGTCATGAAGGTAAGGGAAAAGAGCACAACATTTAACTATATTTTCTGTGCTATCTTTTTCACCCCACAAATACTCTGTATAAAGCACTCTGCTACAGGCATGAGGTCCAACAGTATTTAAGCTAGAAAAATGTGTATTCCTGCTGCAGATTAAAATAAATAGTTATAATTCAAAGTTCCCCAGAAGAATGATATGGATATTTAAATCCACGTTTATTGTGTTTCTCAACCATCTAATGAACTCAGTAGGCACTCAGTTAAGCTTTATTGAACAGATTTAAATGGAAAAGAAAATTCGCATACTTCATCATGGGACAGTTTCCTTTGTGGAAGATTCTAGGTCGCATTTGAAGAGAATGCATCCCCATCTTGTGGCAAGGAAAATAAATTCCCTTGAATTCACAGCTAAATTGCATTTTTCCTTCCAAAGTCATCCTTCACACAAGCCCTGGTTCTCTAATAAAAACAGCGTAAGTAAGTCCATTTATCACACTGGGAGCTGGTGGGCACCAGAGACAGATGAATCCTTGTGCTGAGACTTCAAGCGCTTCCTGATAACGGGAGAAACACTCTAAAGCCTGCGACGATGAGATTGCTCGGCACTGACTCAGAGCCTGCTCAGCGCAGCACTTGCGCTGTTACCTGGCCGTCCCACACTCTGCGTAGGCGGGCCGCATGCCAGTTCCTCACGGATGCTGGAGAGCCACGTTCCCCTCTTAGCAGGCTCTGGTTGCCTCAGCTGATTGTGTGGTTTGCCTGCTCCCTTTTCTCCCTTCTAGCACTTGACCCAAGAATACTGCGCAGATCACAGGAGGAAAATAAATTTGAAAATATGACAGATTTAATGGAAGATTTCTATATTTTTTTCCATTTTGCTGATTCTGATAGATGTCATTTGGGGGGAAAAACACATTAGGATTTAATCATGGCGTATTTTCCAAATATTTTAATTGTGATGACAATTCCTCGACCACTTGATTAGGAGATATGTCCTGTGTTATAAGAATGCAGGTGCCGAGCGTCTGATTCCATGCCTCGGCCAGAAGTAGTGGATAAGAGCTGGGGAGGACCTCTCGCACCTCCCTTTCCAAACATACAGAGCAGCTTTAGGTTGGTAGCCTGTGATCAGCCACGATGGCGGTACTTGTGCCACAAAATTCTCTGTCTCTGTCTCTGTCTCTGTCTCTGTCTCTGTCTCTGTCTCTGTCTCTTCCTCCCTCCCTCCTTCCCTCTCTTTCTCTTTCTCCCAGAAATCTAACTCAGGAACCATGCAACAAAACTGACAAACCTCACCATTTTTTTTTCCCTGGAAACAATGTACACACTTATTCCCTTCACTAGTGCTGATAGAGGAAAGCATCTTTTGCCAAGACATCCTAACAGTACCTCTTCTTTAGGATAAAGACCACCTGCTTAGAGGCACCAGGAAAGGACTGCCCCTCCCTACGCCACCTCCTGGCCTGGCTGCAAAGCTCTAGATGGACTTCTCATTCCTTCACCTTCAAAGGCCCTGAGGCACCACACCAATGAAGTAGCAGTACAAAAAAGTTATTCCAACCTTAGTATTTCAAGTCAGGGTTTATTCCTTGTACTTGGCTACCTTTAAAACTGATGTGAGGTTCTTCACTGAAAAAAATACATATGTCAGATACACAAAATAAGCTACTGCGTCGTTTCACTAATATGAGAGACCCATATTGTAAATAAAGAGCACAACAAAGGGATACACAAAATAAGCTACTGCGTGGTTTCACTAATATGAGAGACCCATATTGTAAATAAAGAGCACAACAAAGGCTAGATAACAGGAAGTGGGGAGATCATTCTGTCTCAAGTGGGAGGGGACTAAGGGAGGAGGAGGAGGAGGAGAAGGAAGAGGAGGAGGAGGAAAAGGAGGAAAGAGGAGGAGGAGAAGAAGGAAGAGGAGGAGGAGGAGGAGGAGGAGGAGGAGGAAGAGGAAGGGTACAGAGGGAGAGGGGATGGAAAAGAAGGTGTTCTACATACATATACCAACTCCACACAAGGAGTGCACACATTATGTACCATTAAAATAATACTATGGTAAAAATCACAAAACTTAATAAAATTTTCAAAAAGAAGAGAATAAGAAGTTATAAAGAAAATATATATCACAGAAAACCTAAGGTAAGAGATACAACTCAACTTTAAGAGATTTAATCCTGAGATTCCTATAAGGCAAGAGATAAAGCAGAAAAAAGAAAAGTCCATTTCTGTCTATGTGTCTGTCTGTCTAATCTAATCTCCAGATATCTAATCCCCAGATATCAGATATATATGTGAAATAAATGAAATCTTCAAAAAAGGAAACATTTCTCCAAACCCTAATAGTTTCTAAATAAGTATTAAGCAGCACAACAAATGACAGTGTAATCATTCAAACTTGTTGAAGGTTCAGATGATTATTTGTTATGTATAAGCTGAAGACCTAATGCAAAATAAAGATCCCACAATTGGTTGCTTTTGCTGTTTTGTCCATATTCGGTTTCCACAACCAAGTTAGCTTCAGAGCAGTTCTGATTGTGCTATGCAGCCTATAGCCTTTCAGAATCTATGCAATAGGGCTGACTGAAAACCTCTGTGCAGGAAGAAGGATGAGTTGGGAAGGAAACAGGAAAAGGAGCCTCCGTGGAGGTTCTTTTATTTATTTTATTTTTTTGGTGGAACCAGGGATTGAACTCAGGCCCTTGCACTTGCCAGGGAAGTGCTTATTCTACTGAGCCATCTCCCCGGCCCCAATGGTAGAAGGAGTTTTATTTGGGAGGGGCACTCAGGATGCCTTCAGGGCAGGTCTGGTTTGGCTTGAGGATGAGAGGATCGAACCACAGCATCCTGAGCCTGACTGCTTTGTTTCAGCAGGCACTTAAACACCTGAGCTAATGGGCAGGCCCCCTCCATGGATGTTCTTACAAGGAGTCTTCAACCATTTACAAGGAATGAATCTAAAATATAAGTGCATGCAAGGCCCTGAAATCTCTGAGCTCTGCCCTTCCTCGATTTGTGGTACTCAGTGTGCAAAGCAGGGATCCACCTTTGTGTTCAAAAATGGAAGGGTCCCTCGAGAAGAAGTATGTTTATCTTAGCACAGAAAAGAACCCTTGATCCCTGGATTTAAGAAGGCACCTTTGTGCATTCACATGCGAAAGGGGCTCTTTCTATGAAACCACTGCCAGGTCGTCCTACTGGCCTTGGAAGTTTCTAGGCCAAGGAGTCATGGTCTACATGCAGCAGGCTCCACCTCCTTTGGGCAGCACTAACTGTCAGGAGTCATAGTTTTAAAATTATCTCAAATATCTCCTCTTGTCAGTCATGCTCAGAGAATCTGCTTTTGCACTCTGTGTGACACAGTGTCACGCTGTCTGCATGACAGCTTCTCACGCAGAACGTCTCCTATCCCCCAATCCTTACTCTTTCTCTGCCAAGTTACATATACTCATTTCCATCAATCAAAGATTTCTAGTGAGGCAAAGATAGTCACTGTAGGAGAACAAACAATTAGCTTACTTTTACATATTATATAATATTTACTGAGCTTTGACCATTAGCCTAATATTTTAATTTATAATAAATAATTATAACCAGCTTAATTAATAAAAGATTTTTAGGGCACCCGAGTGCTTAAAGATACCAAAACTTACAACAACAACAATGAACATAATTAAATATTTTTTGACACAGTGGCAGGGCTAAGACAAAGCAATGACTCTGTTTCTATTTTTCTTTTAAACTTTTACTAGCATTTGTAAGGTTTTTATTCAAAGCATGAAGCCCAGTAAGTAGCACCAAGAAATAGTCAACCAAAGAGCACCGAAAATTCTTACTTTCATTTCATTATTCATTATTTGAAAAACATTATTTATCAAGGAGTCTTTCAAAATTCAATGAAAAGGGAGAAAGTGTTAGAAACAGCACAACACCAAATAGGATTCTTGGAAGCAATTTCTTACAGGTTAAAATAAAGTCGATGAACCAACTCACACATGTTCCCTTTAGAGAGCAAAGTTTTGATGGCTTAGATAGTAAAGCAACCATCAGGGGTGATCATGATGCATTTGCTCCCTTTAATTTACCTGGGCCTGGAATGTTAGTGGAAAGACAGCGATGAGCAAGCCATAATGCACCCTCCCCCTTTTGAAAAAATAAATGTAGAGGGCTTATTTTTTTTTTCAGTCATGCAACTTGATAAGTTCCTTACCCACACTCAGTAGTTACAAGGATTTCAGGCATCAAAATAAAAGTATGTCTCACAAATACCAGATCAGCTTCCAAACTACAGAAAGACTCTTTGGCAACCAAGGTCCACCATCATGTTTTGAAAGGGCCTCATCTGTTCAGGGCAGCAAACCGCTCCTTTAGCCATGAATATTCTCCAGCATCACAAGCTCTGAAATTGGAAGAAAAAAATCTAACTGACCTTAAGAGGGGAAATGTGAGACTGTAAGACATATCCGTGGACATTTTCTATTTGAGACAGGTTCTTTTCGGATACATGCACGAGTTCAGGACCTCTGACTTCATGAGTTAGCCGAGGCAAGGAATGATCGTGTGGAGCATCCTCATCTTGATATCGATACTTCTAGGCAAAAAGAAAAGAAAGAGAGAATCAGTGTTTGCAAAGGACACAGCTTCACGTTGCATTCTAAGGTAATTGCTGGCCACAGTGCGTACCAAGTGTTTACTTCACCAAACAGGCTTTACTGTGTACTTGGTAGCCAGTCACCATATGCCTGCCGAGTGCCGCAGAGGCAAATATCAGTATCAACTGATGTTAGTGACTCTGCTTTGCCTGATGACATGCTCCTCCTCTTCACCAACTACAGAAAGGTGATAAAGGAACCAAGGAAAGTCCTTCAGAAGAGGAGGAAGTACCTTTTCAAAGCTAGGTGATAGCTAAAATTCTAGGTCATGGATAGAGAAGAAAGAATCACCTCATAAGAAAACAGAACTTAGAAATACTCTAGTCAGCAAATTTCATTTTGGTTAGCATTAAAGGACTTCCAACACCACAGCAAAGGATCAGATTCTAATTAAATGATTTCTTGAAATACAACAGTGTTTCCCTCACTGCTGTTTCCTTTTCATCTTATCTCATCTGTCTTCTTTCTGCGTGCCCATAACAGTAAGAAATCCTTTGGTAAAGATTGCAGCTTGTGTCTTCCAAGCAAATCTCAGAAAGCTGTCTGGGAGAGAAACGGCCTGAGAGGACATATTCCTGGGCATGGGGTTACCCGTCATCAGTGCCGGCTGGGGCTCACTATATTCACCTCGCCCTACTTCTCACTGCTTTTGCTTTTCAGATGTTTCTTTCACGTCCCACTGTTTCAAGGTTTTGGCTTAGGTCAGAAAGAAGACACAGAACATGCTATACTGACCTCCAATCCAGCTAATAGCATGTTAATGTGCCTGCTTTGCCTTTGTATCACGTGACTGACACAAGGGTGTTACAGTAGGGATTCAAACATGGTTACTACCTCGCCTCAAGCTTAACAGTTTAATATAATTTCTTAAGTGCCGTATTATTGTCAACACCAACAGTTATTTGGTTACTAAAAGCCTATCTTCTTACAAATCCATGCCTGTGGCTTTTTACCCATTTCTGAGATAAGCATGCTTTCTTGAACATCCCCTTTCAGTGTGGTTCAGAATCTGACATTAATAAGAACAACCCAGACTTCATAATCCAACTTGTCACCCAATCTTTAATCAGAAACTGATTAGTGGTACTTGTATTTTTCAAGGAGTCTTTCTATAATGTCCCAAATTGTATTAATGTCTAAACAAAAACTATACTGAACCATTTCAAGAGTGCTGCCTTGAAAGAGTTGCCCCACAGTTCCGCAGTATTCTTCCTAGGCCATTTACCCTGCGATGACACTAAAACTCAGTGAGCTAAGCTGCGTGTCTGGACTCACACAAGTGCCGGAGTCCAGAACATCCGGACCTGAAACTTCCCTTTACTAGCATCGGTCCCTCCTCCATCTCCCTGTGGACGTGAGGTCCACGGCTATTAACCATTGGCAGCTTGGTAGACTGATACTAGTGGGAGGACCAACCAATGAGGTCAGCACACTTCTGTGAGCCAAATGCAGCACACTTCTTGTTTTCTAGCCCTGCAGATAATTTGAGAAGGCAATCAGCCTCATAAACAAGCGTTACCACGTCCCACGTATTCATGGTCAGCTGTTTTCAGTGGCAGTGAGTAATATGACAGTAGCCCCTATAGCTTCCACTTTAGCTGTGGCCCAGCTCCCATCCTACCTGCTTTCCCTGCTCTCCCTTCTTTCTCCCTCTTGAAGGCACCGCTAAGTATGAAACCAACAGACTCAGAGAGGCAGCCATCGCCAAATTCTCTCTTCTCTTGCACCCTCCACTGTATTCCCATTTAACAGAGTTCTGAGTCTGCCTAATAGTGTCCTAAATCATTATTCAGTCTCTACCCCGCTTACTGCCATCCCAGCTCCCCACACTGTTCACTTCTAACGCCGTCCACACTCCAGTTGCCACCAACGCTGCTACTTTTGACTTATTTTTGTGATCACTTTCACCTGAGCACTTGTGTAGACAGAGCACCTCTTCCAGCTTTTCAAAGCCCCTTTGAAAATTTCTGGAATTTCAAGTTGACCCTGTGAGCGTTTTTAAGTGTGCAGTTCAGAAGTAGTCATATATTCACCTTGTTGTGCAGCGTAATTCTAGAACCTCTTCACAGGCTGTGTGTTCCCATCACTCCCACTGGCCTTCCAATCACAACTCCTATGCTGTATAACCCAGTATTTTCTATTATCCATTATTTTGTGCAATCACTTTGGGGTCACCCTCCCACTCTAGTTCTTATCCAGTTGCCTGCCACATATGCTCACAAGCATTTTTGCATAAAATTTTAAATGGCTGCTGAATAAATGGATGAAATTGGTATTGGTTGTTCAATGTACAAAGCTGTTTTGTCTACTAGATGCAACCTGTTTCTTATTTTTTGTGCATTTATACTTTTATCATTCCTCTTCCCAAAATCTTTTCAGAGAGTTAGCCAACTTTGGAGACTTTTCTTTATATTTAAACCATGGATGAATCCTACGCTTTCTATGAAGTGTACTTTTTAAGGTTCTTTTGAGGGTGGGGGTTCAAAAATTAGGACTCGGGTTAAACCTGGCCTATTAACTCAATTGTATGGCCCTTTGAGCTCTGAATTGTAGTTAAGTTTTTAAATGGTTAAAAAATGAAAAGATATATTTTTCTTTTTTTTTTTTTTTTTTTTGGTGTGTTCTTAGGGAAGGGTCTACAGGGTGTTGAGTTTCACTATTAGGTCAGACTCGTAGTGATCTGCCTGTTTACAGCCTCCCAAGAGCTAGGATTACAGGCACGCACCACCACGCCCAGTCTCCACTGCAGTCTCTGCACGCCCCTGGGGTGGGGCCGACACGGCAGGCCCAGGGATCGAATCCCCAGCCCCTGTGCCTGCTTGTAGGTGACAACCTTTCTTTTATTATAAACCATTATGAACCCCCAAACATATTTTTGACATATACTGCAAGGATCTCAGATTCTCCCTCATCACTCATTTCTATAACATATGCTGAGAATACAAACTCAAAAGAACAGCTCTTGCTCTAAAGAAGATCATATATTTTTAAGCAAATTATACACAAGTAAAGTTAAGCTACTATGCATAGTAATGAGAGCTGTAAATATCTACTCTGTTTTGTTGGAACAGGAATGGTTCAGACCAACATTGTCTGAAACTTACCAGTTTGAAACAAGATTTAAAATTATATGAAAAGAAATAAAGGATAGTTGAAGGAAGTCACAACAGGAGCAGAACTCTGAGGAGGTGACACTCAATCTGTTTCTCAAGGTCCTGAAAAGATTTGCCTGATGAATCCAGGACTGCAAGGAGAGTTGAGCTGGACCAGAAAAGGAGAACTAAAACAGTCTTGTAAGGTATTTAGGACTCACAGAACCTTTGAGGCTACCTCTATCTTAGGTAGAATCTTTAGAAAATCTTTGAGAAAAATGTAAGGGGGTGTTATGGTTTGTGTCTAGCTGTCCCCCCAAAGCCTCACTGGGGTAGGTTTCTAGAGTTTTTGATTAGTATGGGTGTAAGTGCTACACCCACCCGGGGTGGATAGCCTGAATGTAATATAAGGAAAGGAGACAGGCCTGCGAGCTGTCAGCACCACTGCTCCTCCCTTTGTTCTCTGCTGTTTTCTGCCTCCATGAGCTGCTGCCCTCTGTCTTGTGCCACCCTGCCTTGGAGCCAGCTGAGTATGGACTGAAACCTCCACTAACAGTGAGCTAAATAAACCTTTCCTTCCTTAATTTTGGGTGTTAGGAATTTTGTCCCAGCAAGGATAGAAAAGTAACTGAGAGACAGAAGATGATTAAACAGTTCTGTAGAGGTTACTGTTTTACCTAAGATCAACTCTATCTTTTCATGAAATTCAGAGTCAACCTTCATCCCAGAGTGTGCTCAGTAGGGGCAAAGGCCATCTGGAGCAGCTCTGAGGTCTCTGTATTGCCTGTGATGGGTTGAGGGCACTAGAGGAGACCTCTGGTGCAAAATGTGAGCCTTCTCCTTTCCGCCTTGTCTATGTCCATTAGAGGAGATGCTGTGGTGAAAGAACTTTCATGAACAGATACTTCTGGTTTCAGCTCTAAAGAGAGGAGAGGCAGGAAAAATGCTCAAGACAGGAGAGAATGAGGTATTATTTGTTTCATTATATTTCTTAGCAACAAAACTAAAGAAGAGAGAACTTGTAGAATTTTATCCTCTCCTCGCACCTTAAACTTGATCCTGCCTGCAGTCGTGGACTTCAGGGGGCAAACCTTGACAGGACCTTGCTAAGGAGAGTGGGCATCCCCTCCTCAGAAGCATTCCCTGACTGAGCATTGGCGAGGTATCTTTCCGTGGACTCCCACCATGTGCTGCCCCTACTCCTGTCAGGAATGATTTTGTAATACAGCAGCTGGTCCCTGTGCCTCTCTCCCTGTGAGCCTATGAGTGCCCAAGGGCAGATCTGGAGCCATTTTCATTTCCAAATCTCCAGTGCCTTTATGACAACTGGCCGTTAGTCAGAGACCAAAGAACGCAAGGCTATAGCAGAACAGCATCCCCTGAGGAGAGCCTGTACACAAGCACGCCCAGGTGCTTCTTTCTATCACAGGCTCCACATGGAAAGACAAAGTGCAGAAGTCTGAATACATTGCTCAGCACATGCGCTGAAACCTGCGTGGGCCCCAACCATGCTGGGTTTCCCAGAATCCTCACCCAAGAGCACAGAACTGTTCATCAGCTCAGTGCTTCCGGCATCATGTGGAAGGTGGTGCTGCACAGCACGGGGGACAGTAATGAGATAGTAAGTCAGAAATCTCTCAAATTCTCATAAATAAAAATCTGAGTTCATCTCTATTGCTGCCTAAAAGTGTTCTGCTTCTCCCTTGCAGGAGCAGCTGGGGCCGTACTGATGAGAGAGGGCGAGAGAAAGAACAAGGAGATAGGAAGGAAGGAGGGGAGTGAAGGGGAGCGAGAGGGGTGAAGACACGTCAGAAGCTGACAGCCAGAACATGAGTGGCCAGTGATAG